GCGTGATCGAGAGACTGCATCTGATGCTGTAGGCGGCTCATCTGCAAGCTCATCGGCGGCCGCACGCTCTGGGCGGGCGCTGCCTGTCCGAGGCGGTCGGCTGGACCGCCTTCCTGTTGGAGACCGACCTGGTTGCTTGTCATGTGGCGGGTTGGCAGGACCTGGCTTCCCAGCGCGGTTTCGCCCGCAGCGAAAGCAACGAGCGTTATTGGCAAAATTGCGACCATACCCGCACTGACGGCTAGCCAGACATGCCCACCCGGGCTCAATCTGCACAACATGTTGTCCCTTCGTGCCCATAGGCGAGGAACCGTGATGCTGCTCTAACATCTGATGTGCAGTGCAGCTTCTAACCGGAGAAAATGTCGAGCAGAGCCTCGGGCTTTCCTCAGTCTGCGATGCTACGCTGGGGAGCTTGAACGCGGCCTGCTGCACGAAGACATACCGCTGAGCGCTGGTGTGTCACCCTCCTGGGCGACCCAGGGCGCGGGGCGGCGGCGCCAGGCCGCAGCGCAGGGGCTTGTCGCGCGCGCGACGCGCAGGCAGCCCTGCTGGGGGTGGGGACCCTCGACTATGAACCCTTGAGCCAGAATGGCTACGGAGGGAGGAGGAGGAGAAGGAGGAGGAGGAGGAGGAGGAGGAGGAGGCGGAGGAGGAGGAGGAGGAGGAGGAGGAGGAGGAGGAGGAGGAGGAGGGGGAGGAGCAGGAGGAGGAGGAGGAGGAGGAGGAGGAGCAGGAGGAGGAGGAGGAGGAGGAGGAGGAGGAGAAGGGGGAGGAGAAGGTGGAGGAGGAGGAGGAGCAGGAGGAGGAGGAGGAGCAGGAGGGCACACACACAGTTCCTGGGCCCAGGAAGGGCTGGGGCCAGGGGGCAGTGTCAGGGCCCTGCTGTGTGTTGACATGGCAATACCAAGGCACAACAAAAAAATTGCTCTGAGACTCATTTCGCCAGTAAGGGTGCTCAATCCGCTACTGAGCCACCGATGGCGGAAGTGCGCGAGCGATCTACAGTCTAAATCTTGACGTGGCTCCACCCAGGCTGGCCGCTCCCCTGCGTTTTCCCTCGGGCGCCCTTCATACTGATCAAGGGAAAAAGGAACAAACAACGGCGCAAACGTAAACTCTTGGAGATCCGCGCGGACTTCTCGGGTCGGCTCAAGACGCCCCTCCCTGGCGCTCGGAGCGCGCCAGGGGCGGTGACGGAGGCGCCGCCAAGGGGGCGCCAGCGCCGATCCAAGAAATCCACGCGGAGCTTCGGATGTGTACGTTTGTCAGAGTGGGGGGCCGAACGGTCATTTACTGTCCCTGGGCGTGTGGCTGGAGTGAGGTTCTGCTGCGCGGAATGTTGTTGCATTGTTGTTATCGTCGTCCTCGCCTGCGATCCACAGTGCGACCCACCCAGAACACACCCCGCGCCCACCCCCTCACTATTATCCGCAACTGCGCGGTGCTACGCATCGTACTTCTTCTTATTCGACGATCTGGGGCCGCGGCCGCGGATGAGCGCCGCGCCCTGCGCACGGTTCCTCGTGGCTGCAGGGCTCTGGGTCTTGCGCGACCAGGAGACGCCGAAAGCGCGGGACAAGCGGCATGCAGAGGCTCTGGAGGGAGTGCTCTGCGGGGAGGGGAGGAGGAGGAGGAGGAGGAGGCGGAGGAGGAGGAGGAGGAGGAGGAGCAGGAGGAGGGAGGAGGAGGAGAAGGAGGAGGAGGAGGAGGAGGAGGAGGAGAAGAATGAAAAGATACCGATGCCGCCGCCCTTGCCTCGTTTTCGTCTTTTTGAGCCTCCTTGGAGGCCCTCATCGCCGTGGCTGGATGCGCCTCGAGATTCTGGTCAGAACGCACCCCAGGAGATGTCCGGGGAGCAGAGGTGTCGGCACCTGTTGGTCCCCAAGAGCGGAGGAGGCAAGAGATAGAGCGCTGGGCCCTGTCGAGGGGCGGCTCGCAAAGCGTGAACAACTTGGGGATCGCCGACTGGGGGCGGGCGAGGCCATTCCCAGTCGTGTGCGTCCAAGCGGGTACGGGTTCTAGTCAAACCCTCTGAATCGGCAGCTGCTGTTCCGATCGAAAACAGAGCCGACGGCACACCATGGGCGGCTGGAGGAGTGGAGGAGTGGAGGGACAATGTCCTGGCACACGAGGTCAGGGAGGAGGGAAGAAGATGCAGGACCGAAGATCGGAGACAATTCTCTCTCGACGTCTCCGTAACTTTGAAGCCTCCAGAGGGGGGCTTCTGAAAGCGCGTGCCAGTCGCGCGCAGAGGGGCGCGCCAGGCTCAGGGGGCCCAGGAAGATTTCGCCTCCAGGCGCGCCAAGCCTGCCCCATCCGCTCGGAGTGGAACTTATCATTATACAATTCGCGGTGGCACTTGCTACTGGGGCAGTCCGCTTTCACTCCCCTCATCCCCCCTCACATCGGTAACGTGACGAGTTGCGCGGGCGCCGCCTGGGAATCGGCACTGGCACCGTCTGGTTCCCCTCGACTACTTAGCGCTGGTGGTCGCATGCACACCGTGCGCATCGCCGTGGCGCTCGCTGTCAATTCCAGTGCCCACTGGCACATAGCTGATGTTCGCAACCGTAGTGTGGCTCTCGCAAGACGCTGTGGCATTGGCGGGCTTCGGCATACCGTTGTGCACATGCGCAGTGAAGGCAAGCTGCTGTGGTAATGGCACGGTCTGGGTTCCCCCGCGGTCGGGCGGTCGCAGCCGCGCTGGCTCACAACATACAGACTAATGTGCGCAAGCGTACCGTGGCGCTGGCGAACTGTTGTGGTTCTTTTTTTTTCCAGCGCACTTTTGGGAGAAGGAGGAGGAAAGCAGAGGGGACGAAGCGGACAGGACCGATATCCTCTGCTGTCAGCGAACTGTTGTGGTTCTGGCAGGCTCTGGGGTGCCGTTGTGCGCACGTGCGGTGCTCACACGCTACTGTTGCGCTGGCGAAGTTCGGATCCCATCGCCGTAACGCTGGTGATGCTCGCGCGCATACCATGGTGCTCACCAGCGCATCGCTGGTGCTCGGCAAGCCTGCACTGGTGTCCGCAATACATTGTATGACTTGCGGGGTCTCGCATGCTGTGGCGCTTGTGCCCACAACTCACGGTGGTACTGGCAGGGTCCAGCTTCCCTCGCTGTCTGGCGATCACAAGCTGCCCTCAAGCCCGCTGTTTGGCGGCGAGCCCGGGATGAAGTAAGAGGGGGCGGGCCTTCTCAGAGGGTTCGGACGGCCTTCGGCCTTCTGGGCATGCTTCTGGGCCTTCCCCGAGGACGCTGAAAACTTCCCAGAGAGCGCGAAGGTTTCTGGGAAGCCCCGCCGCCCTCTGAGAAGGCCTCTGCTCTTCTCGCTTCTCCAGCCGTCGCGCCGTCGAATCGTGGCGCTCGCTGGCACACGTGACGTCCGCACGCTCGTGGCGCTGGTGTTCCCGAGCGCACGGTGTCACGGGCAAGGTTGCAGGGGCCCTTGGACGCACACATGAATACACAGAAATAACCGGATTCCGCATGCTTCCCATATGTTCTGGGTCTGTGTCTTCCCCCCCACTTCCCATGTTTTCCCACATGTTCCTGGGAATCGACGATGGTTTGTGTCTCTGGGCGTGCGTTTGTTACCCTGCTGAGAGACCCACGAAGGGAGCTGGCAAGCGATAGCGGCAGTGTCCGGGCCCCCTCGCCGGCCCAGCGGTCGCAGGCACAAGATGGCCCCAAGAAGGCCGCCCAAGACGTTTTTGTTTTGTTTTGTTTTTTTGTTGTTCGCCTTGCTGTGCGTCCCTGTCGCACGGCCGTTGGCACAGGCTAAAGAGCCGCAGGGGTGATGTCGCTCCTGATGACCTTGGTGACCGAGGCCTTGTGGGCAAACAAAATGATCCCAGTGCGACCCTACCTAGGAGTTGGAGCCTCTAGGAAAGCAACATTAGTAGGAGCGGTAAACGCCGTCCTCCTCCTTCTCCTCATCGTCGTAGTTGTAGCAGTAGCCGTAGTAGTAGTAGTAGTAGTAGTAGTAGTAGTAGTAGTAGTAGTAGTAGTAGTAGTAGTAGTAGTAGTAGTAGTAGTAGTAGTAGTAGTAGTAGTAGTAGTGGTAGTAGTAGTGGTAGTAGTAGTGGTAGTAGTAGTAGTAGTAGTAGTAGTAGTAGTAGTAGCAGCAAGTCGCCGAGACAGCAGCAAAAGCAAACAGGCACGGAGATGAGGCAAAGTAGTGGATGATGTGCTGCGCTATGCTATGCTGTGCTGTGCTATGCTATGCTATGTTATGCTCTGCTCTGCTATGCTATGCTATTATGCGCAATGCTATGCTGGGCTAGGCTAGGCTAGGCTATGCTATGCTGCGCTATGTTATGCTATGCTATGCTATGCTATGCTATGTTATGCTATGCTTTTGCTTTGCCTTCGCTTTTGCCTTCACTGTTGCCTTTGTTTTTGCTTTTGCTTGGCACCCAGGGAGCGCAACTGGAGGAACCGCGCGTTTGCTTTTACCTTTGCTGTTGCTTTTGCTTGGCTCCCAGGGGACTGGGGGAACCGCCCGGGGCGCTTTCCACTGCCCGGCCCCTTTAAGCCAACAGAGCAAGAACCCTTCTAGGCAGAGCCTAGGTAGGGAAAAAGAAACACATAAAAAAGAAGGCCCCCCAAGACGGTGCAAGAGCTCCCCAACAGGGCTGAACCTAAACGGTGTGCTTCGTTTTCGTTCTGTCTTCGTTGCCCATCGTTCTGTCTTCCACCCACCTCTCTCGCGAAAGAACGAGGCCGGAACGAGAATGGCCCACGAGGTCGCCCGAACACCGTTGAGGCCCGGCCCTGCTCCCCAAGACGGCCCAGGACGCAGGCCGATCCCTCCCAGGAGGACCAGAAGGCGGCCCCGAGGCCCCCAAGGCGGCCACCGCAGGGGCCAGACGGCGCAGGAGCGCCCCAAGGCGGCCCGGGACGCCCAGCAGCGGCCCCAAAGAGGCCCCTCGGAGGCCCCCTAAGAGGCCCTGAGCAGCCCCCAGGAAGCCTCCAGGAGGCCCCCAAGAAGCTCCCGGGAGTCCCGACAACGACTGGACAACTATACGTGGTCCGTACGTGCACCCCGCGAAGCGAGAGGGATCGCGAATGTCAACAAATATGGCGGAGAGTGGAGCTGAGAACAACACGCCATTCCAGGCTCGCGAACATCCCGAGGATGGTCTCAAAATCGCCAGGGCTAATGCAGCTTGCAGTGAGCTGCAATCTCCTGGCGCTCTGCCCGCGACAGTTGTCTATCATCTAAGCTAGCCGAAAGAAGATATTCCCTAATTGAAATTTGCCGCCTCGTCGAAAATCTTGCGCCTTGCCTGCAAAACAACATCGACGCACAAGCAGCAACACTTGATCATCCATTGATTCTAAAAAACGACTGCGAGTAGCCACGCGGGCCCCACGATGTGGGCAGAAGCCGCAGTCGAGGATGACACGTGCGCCGACATACTAGTCAATTACCTCACCGCAACACCCTCCCCTCCCCTGCCCCACAATTCACCAAGGCACACGCGGCTGCCCGACGCGAGCCGCTGGTGTGCTGACTCTGGGCTGATCTCGGCGGCCTCACTAGGCAGCCGCAGCGCACATGGGCACGCCCGTCGTGCTCGTCGCCGACGCGGTGGCTCCAGGGCCAGTGGCGGTCGCGTGGGTCGGCGTGCTGACCGCGCTGGTGGCCCTGTCGAGCGTGAGTAGCACCAACTCGCACGCGTCCTGTAGGGAACGGTTCCCTTTCGAACTCGAACTCGGTGCATAGCGTTCGGTTCAACCGAACTCTATACAACGACGCGTGTTTCGGGCCTGCTCTGAAACTTGCAAACAATGAAGCGGATCCTGGTGTATACGGGATCCTGGTGTATGCATTTTTCGTTATCTCCCCAAACAGAAAAGGGGAAACGAGTGTACGCCGCACCACCCCCACGTCGTCCTCAACCCTCCAATTAGCCTGGCGGAGGACCCAACCATATGCAGTTGTGGGTATCGCATTCGGGGGAGCCCCGTATGGGGCCACGAAACGCTGTGCTGGGTGTGGCGGACGCATGCGCCCCCCCCCCCCCTGGGGCATTCGGTGGAGCTCCCTATGGGGCCACGAAGCGCTGTGCTGGGTGTGGCGGACGCATGCGCCCCCCTCCACTGGGGCCTTCGGTGGAGCTCCCTATGGGGCCACGAAACGCTGTGCTGGGTGTGGCGGACTCATGCGCCCCCCCCCCCCCACCCCCACACTGGGACCCTCGGTGGAGCTCCCTATGGGGCCACGAAGCGCTGTTCTGGGTGTGGCGGACGCATGCGCCCCTCCCCCACTGGGGCCTTCGGTGAAGCTCCCTATGTGGCCACGAAGCGCTGTGCTGGGTGTGGCAGACGCATGCGCCCCCCTCCACTGGGGCCTTCGGTGGAGCTCCCTATGGGGCCACGAAACGCCGTGCTGGGTGTGGCGGACGCATGCGCCCCCCCCCCCCCCCACTGGGGCCTTCGGTGGAGCTCCCTATGGGGCCACGAAACGCCGTGCTGGGTGTGGCGGACGCATGCGCCCCCCCTCCCCCCACACTGGGACCTTCGGTGAAGCTCCGTATGGGGCCACGAAACGCTGTGCTGGGTGTGGCGGACGCATGCGCCCCCCTCCACTGGGGCATTCGGTGGAGCTCCCTATGGGGCCACGAAACGCTGTGCTGGGTGTGGCGGACGCATGCGGGCTGTGCCACTGGGGCCTCCGGTGGAGCTCCCTATGGGGCTACGAAACGTGTGAGAGGTGTGCCGAGAGCAAAGGCAAGGAGGGGGAGGAGGGAGGAGGGGGAGGGAGGAGGGAGGAGGGGGAGGAGGAAGGAAGGAAGGAAGGAGAGACGCGAGGCACCGTCTCCTCAAAACGAGGACCCAACACCACAGGATGGTTGGGAAAAGATCCTGGGGTCGAAAAACGGCATGCCGCTGGTAATGTGCAGATTCCAGTGTCCGATCCTGGACCTCCTCTCTGCCGGCGACCGTCGCTTTCTCGACGAGGCGCAGCACCTGGCGGACGGCCTCGGGCGGTCCAGGGCTCGCGGGCGCCCCGCCCGCGAGCAGCCTCCGTGCCGCGAGCTGCGCCCAGGTCTCCGGCTCGTGCTTGCCTGGCCGGACGCTGTCCAGCGGGATCAGGCCCGCCTCCACGGCACCGAGCGCCAGCAGGCCGAGGGCCACCTGGCGCGGGGGCTGCTCGGCGGCATCCATCACGAGGGCCATGGCCTGGCAGTAGCTGCGCTGCCAGATCCACTCCAGCGTAGGCCCCACCGGCAGGCCGCGGGTCAGCGCGCTCAGGCGCGCGCAGAACTTCTCCGTCCAGGCCTGAACGGAGGGCATGCAGGTCCGCCAGCCGAGCGTCTTCAGCAGCAAGTGCTCGGCCTCGGCAATCGAGCCCTCCGTGGCGTCGGGCACCGCGTGGCCCAGCTGCCGCAGAGCCGCGGCCAGCGGCCGGGCGTGCCCCGAGAGACCAGACTTGCTCATGTCGAGACACGCCATGTCCTTCTTCTTCAAGACCTTGACGACAGCCACGGCGACGGCGGGCAAGGAGCCGATGCTCGTGCCACCCGGCGCGCATCGGAGGAAGGCGTCGAGCAGCGCCGCGGCCTCGAACCAGGTCTGCTGCGGCGGCATGTCCATCAGCTCGATGAAGCAGTAGATGAACCGTAGCGTCGCGCGCCGTTCGGCTGGGCCCAGCTGAAAGCCGGAGCCCCCGCGGGCATGGCGCAACTTGCGCTCGATCAGCTGCCAGCTCTCGAGGAGCTCGGTGGACGCGCCGAGCTGGTCGAACGCGCACTCCAGCCTCTCCTCTTCCGCCAGCGGCGCCAGGTGCCGGCGCTCCTGCGCGGGCTCTGCGCGCGAGGGTCCCGCGCAGCGCAGGGGTTCGGCCGCCGAGCCCCTCACGGGCGCAGGGTGCGAAGGCTCCTTCGCCCGCTCGGCGAGTGCGGCGCCGGCCTGCACGCCGCCCCCGCGCAGCTGCAGGTGTAGCATGGGGCCCGTCCTCGTCTCGACCAGCGCGCTCCCGCGCGGCCCTAGACTGCTGTGGCCCATCGGGAGCTGACTGCTCTGGCGGCGCACAGTCGGGCTCAGGGCGAGAGGGACACGAGGTTTTCCTCCTCCTCCTCCTCCTCCTCATTCCCCTCCTCCTCATTCCCCTCCTCCTCATTCCCCTCCTCCTCATTTCCCTCCTCCTCATTTCCCTCCTCCTCCTCCTCCTCCTCCTCCTCCTCCTCCTCCTCCTCCTCCTCCTCCCCCTCCTCTCCCGAGGAGGGGAGGGCCTTCCAAGAAGAGGCCGCCGTCTCTCGGCAAACAGAGCCCACCCAAACCGAAGCTGGTGCTGACTCCATTGCCTTGACTGTTTTTTCCACCCGCGGCCCAAGAGGCCCCGACCTCTTCCCCAGGGCGGGCTTCCGCCCTGACCCGTCCCTGATGGCATTTGGGGCCCGAGAAGGCAATCAGAAGCCCAAAGTGGGAACAAAAAACGCCAGCGAAAAATTGCCCCTGGGAAGAGGAAAGGCGGAAAGGGCGAGACGCTCGCGGACGGGGATCGTTGCGGCTGGCGGCGGAGGAGCGGGGAGGAGGGTAGGAGGGGAGAGGAAAGAAGATGGAGACTAGAATCACGGGGTCGGCAAGGTTATTAACTGGAGAAAACATGGTAGCAATAGTGCGACGGGGATCGTTGCGGCTGGCGGCGGAGGAGCGGGGAGGAGAGTGGGAGGGGAGAGGAAGGAAGAGGGAGACTAGAATCACGGGGTCGGCAAGGTTATTAACTGGAGAAAACACGGCAGCAATAGTGCGATAAAGAACGCCTGTTGCACCTCATCAGAATGCAGAGTCGCTCCGGAGCTTCATCCAAACAGCAACGATACATTCTTTTCGAGCCAGGATTGCAAGGGCGATCGGACAGCTCTGGCAGAGGAAAAAAACCGAAAATTGAAAAAAACAAAACTGTCCAATGGCGCGCGCAAATCCAACCCGTCCAAGATGCACGGCCGCTTTCTGTCCACGCGGCGGGTTACGTGCTCGATCCGGGAAGCTATTTTGACATACAGTCGTGTCTTCTTGTGCCCTTTAGTGCCCCTTAGTGCCTGTTATCATGTCCCATCATGTCCTTCAGCGCCTCTTAGCAATTGCCGCGCTTGATGCGGGACGCACCCTGTAGGGCCTGGTGGATGTGAATTCCGCTTGCTTTCTCTGCGCCTTCCACTAGCTTGCGGCGGCGGTCTGTTTTCGCAAGGGTTTGTGACCTCAGCCGATGATGCCGCGGCGCCCCCCAGCAGGCGCGACAATCGATTGGTCGATGCATGTGCGCATTTTGACTGTTTCTTCCTCCCCCGATCCCCGCACTTCCGCCGCCGCCGCCGCCGCTCCCGCCGCCGCCGCCCCCTCCCTTACCCCCATCCCCCCGTGCGCACGGCAAGTTTCCCTGGGGGCGGCCAGGCGAATCCGCGGGGAACGGCGGCGGCGGAGTTGGTCATGCAGGTTCTGGCCCTCCCAGGGCAGCTGCAAGGCTTTCTCGCGGACGAGGGCCCGGGAGCTCGTGAGCGCGCCGCCCATGTCCGAGGCCGTGCCCACTCTTCGCGGGGGCGGGCGTGGCCGCGTGGCAAGCGCGCCACGCGGGCCAGGGGCGCCAGGCGCGACGAGAGCGCCAAGTGCACCAGGTGCGCCACGTGCCTGGCGCGCTGGGTGCGCCAGATGTGCCAGGTGCGGCAAAAGTGCGCCTCCTGCGACAGGTTCGTCGGGCACCCGTGGCGCATTGCGCTGCACCCTAGGCCGGCAGCAGTGCTGGGCGATCATATCGACCCCGACTACCCTCCAGAGCAGCTGCGCGGCAGCTGCGCGGCAGCTGCGCGGCAGCTGCGCGGCAGCTGTCCGGCAGGTACCCCGCTTCACCCAGTCCCTTCCCCGGTCCACCTTCCGCCGCCCCCTCCACGCCAACCCCGCCCTCCTCCAGTTCTTGTTGACTCCCCGGGAATAACGCCATGAAGGCTGCGCAGACATTTGACTCCTAATGCCGCGAGCTTGGCTCAAACGTGCGTCGCGATATTTCCATGGCGTGTCACGAGATTGGCTCCATTGACCTCGCTGAGGGCCCAGCGTCGCGAGCACGCGCTTGCAATTATTCCAGACCGCCGCTCAGAACTTCCCATTCCTATCCGTTTGCCTTTCGTCGGATCAGCCGAAGCTGGCCCTGTGGACATGTCCCTGGGCGCTCCATCGACGCGGGTTTCCAAAGGAGAGTTCCGCCGATAGCACCTGCGCACCATCAGCACAAGGCTTGGCCAGCGCCATCCAGCGCCTCTGGATGGTGAGCAGGCCCTCGTGGCCTGGACGTCCGGGAACCATCCACGGGCCCAGGGATGGCACTGGCCAGGCATGGTGGTGATAGTATTAGGTCGGGCGTGTCCCCCTACAGGGGGAGTTTGGACGAAAAAAAAGATACTCAAACATTATCCCGACAAAGCAACCTAACAGCGATGTGTAGGAGCATATCTGGAAGCATTCCCCTTAAGATTCGGATGAGAATCCAGTTGTAGAATTCTGCTGTTCTCGCAGTCGTAGTCGCATTCGCGATGACAGTCGCAGTGGCAACGGCAGTCGCAGTCACAGCCTCAGCCTCACAGCCTGCCTCAGCCTCAGCCTCAGCCTGCTTCAGCCTCAGCCTCAGTCTGCCTTCAGCCTCGGCCTCAGCCTCAGCCTGCCTCAGCCTCAGCCTGCCTCAGCCTCAGCCTGCAGCCTCAGCCTCAGCCTCAGCCTGCCCCAGCATCAGCCTGCCTCAGCCTCAGCCTCAGCCTGCCTCTGCCTCAGCCTCAGCCTGCTTCAGCCTCAGCCTCCGTCTGCCGTCGGCCTCGGCCTCAGCCTCAGCCTGCCTCAGCCTCAGCCTGCATCAGCCTCAGCCTCAGCCTCAGCCTACCTCAGCATCAGCCTGCCTCAGCCTCAGCCTCAGCCTCAGCCTGCAGCCTCAGCCTCAGCCTGCTTCAGCCTCAGCCTCAGTCTGCCTTCAGCCTCGGCCTCAGGCCTCAGCCTGCCTCAGCCTCAGCCTCAGCCTCAGCCTCAGCCTCAGCCTGCCTCAGCCTCAGCCTCAGCCTGCCTCAGCCTCAGCCTCAGCTGCTTCAGCCTCAGCCTCAGTCTGCCTTCAGCCTCGGCCTCAGCCTCAGCCTGCCTCAGCCTCAGCCTCAGCCTCAGCCTCAGCATCAGCCTCAGCCTCAGCAGCCTCAGCCTCAGCCTCAGCCTGCCTTCAGCCTCTCAGTCTGCCTTCAGCCTCGGCCTCAGCCTCAGCCTCAGCCTCAGCCTCAGCCTGCCTCAGCCTCAGCCTCAGCCTGCCTCAGCCTCAGCTGCCTCTGCCTCAGCCTCGCTGCTTCAGCCTCAGCCTCAGTCTGCTCAGCCTCAGCCTCAGCCTCAGCCTGCCTCAGCCTCAGCCTGCAGCCTCAGCCTCAGCCTCAGCCTCAGCCTGCCTCAGCCTCAGCCTGCCTCAGCCTCAGCCTCAGCCTGCTTCCGCCTCAGCCTCAGTCTGCCTTCAGCCTCGGCCTCAGCCTCAGCCTCAGCCTGCAGCCTCAGCCTCAGCCTCAGCCTGCCTCAGCATCAGCCTGCCTCAGCCTCAGCCTCAGCCTGCCTCAGCCAGCCTCAGCCTCAGCCTCAGCCTGCTTCAGCCTCAGCCTCAGTCTGCCTTCAGCCTCAGCTGGCCTCAGCCTCAGCCTGCCTCAGCCTCAGCCTGCATCAGCCTCAGCCTCAGCCTGCCTCAGCATCAGCCTGCCTCAGCCTCAGCCTGCCTCAGCCTCAGCCTCAGCCTCAGCTTCAGCCTCAGCCTCAGTCTGCCTTCAGCCTCGGCCTCAGCCTCAGCCTGCCTCAGCCTCAGCCTGCCTCAGCCTCAGCATCAGCCTGCCTCAGCATTCAAAATGTGGCCCGGGAATGGAATTCTGGGAACTCGAAGAACACGAAGTGGCCTACAGTTGGCTCCGGGCATTCAAAATCATGCCCAGGAATGGAGTTCTGGGAACTCGAAGACACGAAGTGGCCTACAGTTGGCTCCGGGCATTCAAAATGTGGCCCGGGAATGGAGTTCTGGGAACTCGAAGAGCACGAAGTGGCCTACAGTTGGCTCCGGGCATCAAAAATGTGGCCCGGGAATGGAGTTCTGGGAAGTCGAAGAGCACGAAGTGGCCTACAGTTGGCTCCGGGCATTCAAAATGTGGCCCGGGAATGGAGTTCTGGGAGGTCGAAGAGCACGAAGTGTGTGACTGTTTGCTTAAAACGAGCCCGGCCCTGAGCCCGGCCCTCGCTGTCCGGATGCCGCCCAGACCTCCCTTCTGAGTCATCAGATGCTCTCTTTTGACACCACTAGAAACCTATCAGTCTTCGCTGTTAGGTAAATACCCCCCAATAGCAAAAACATGTTCAACAAAAACATCGTCCCTATATTATCCCGGCAAAGCAACCTAACAGCGATGTGTAGGAGCATATCTGGAAGCATTCCCCTTAAGATTCGGATGAGAATCCAGTTGTAGAATTCTGCTGTTCTCGCAGTCGTAGTCGCATTCGCGATGACAGTCGCTAGTGGCAACGGCAGTCGCAGTCCAGCCTCAGGCCTCAGCCTGCCTCAGCATCAGCCTGCCTCAGCCTCAGCCTCAGCCTGCCTCAGCCTCAGCCTCAGCCTGCCTCAGCCTCAGCCTCAGTCTGCCTTCAGCCTCGGCCTCAGCCTCAGCCTGCCTCAGCCTCAGCCTGCATCAGCCTCAGCCTCAGCCTCAGCCTGCCTCAGCCTCAGCCTCAGCCTGCCTCAGCCTCAGCTCAGTCCGCCTTCAGCTCGGCCTCAGCTCCGCTGCCTCAGCCTCAGCTGCATCAGCCTCCCTCAGCTCAGCCTGCCTCAGCCTCAGCCTCAGCCTCAGCCTCAGCCTGCCTCAGCATCAGCCTGCCTCAGCCTCAGCCTCAGCCTGCCTCTGCCTCAGCCTCAGCCTGCTTCAGCCTCAGCCTCAATCTGCCGTCGGCCTCGGCCTCAGCCTCAGCCTGCTCAGCCTCAGCCTGCATCAGCCTCAGCCTCAGCCTCAGCCTGCCTCAGCATCAGCC